GATCATTGAGGCACTAGACGATTGGCGTCACTATCTCGAGGGGTTACCTAATCAGTTCGAGATCGTAACCGATCATAAAAACCTCGAATATTGGCGCACGTCCCAGCACCTCACGCGTCGCCAAGCGCAATGGTCGCTGTTCCTGGCTCGCTTCGACTTCCGCATTACGCACAAGGCCGGGACGTCCAATGGAAAGACTGATGCCCTATCACGCCGATCAGACCACCAGATAGGCGACAAGGACGATAACATCGATCAGGTGGTTCTCAAGCCGGAACGCTTCCGCATCGCCTCCACCCGGCGCAGTCATGCCTTGGTGACAGCCGACCAGTCGCTTCTGAAGCACATCAGGGAATGTTTGGAGAAGGATCGGGAGGTGGCCGAGGCACTCGAAAAGGTGCAGGACCTCGGACCGCCCCGGCTACAAAGGGGTTTTGAGGAGTGGAATGCCGAACAAGGGCTTCTGCTGTTCCGCGGATGCGTGTACGTCCCAAAGAACGCAGAACTCCGGCGGAATATCGTCAATATCCACCACAACTCGCCGATCGCCGGTCATGGCGGTCGTGCCAAAACCCTGGAGCTCGTGTCACGGAATTACTGGTGGCCTGGGATGTCTAAATTCGTTAATGAGTACGTAAGCACCTGTGACCTGTGCAACCGTACCAAGACATTCCCAGCCAAACCCCAGGGTCCGCTGAAGCCAAATGAGATCCCCGAGCGCCCGTGGCAGATCATCACGACCGATATGATCATCGGCTTGCCGAAGTCTGATGGGTTCGACTCGATCCTGGTTACCGCCAACCACTTCACAAAGCAGGTCCACTTCTCGGCCTGTCATGAGACTCTGACAGCAGAAGGTGCAGCTGACCTGTACATCTGCGATGTGTTCAAGCATCATGGGGCCCCGGCCAAGGTCATATCAGACCGAGGTCCCCAGTTCGCTTCAAAATATCTCCATGCGGTGTACAAGGGACTAGGGATCGAGCCGGCGTTGTCCACAGCGTTCCACCCTCAGACAGACGGCCAGACTGAGCGCTGGAATCAGGAGATCGAGCAATACCTGCGTGCTTTCACCAGCCACAGGCAGGATGATTGGGCAAAGTAGTTGCCGCTCGCGGAATTCGCACTGAACAACCGAGTTCACTCCGCGACCGGGCACTCCCCTTTCTTCTTGCATCAAGGGTACAATCCTGAGATCCAGGTTCGGATCAATCCGATGTCTGCGATGCCTGCGGCCGCTGATCGGCTCAAGATCCTGAAGGAGATTCGCGATGACACGCGCTCTGCGCTCGAGCTGTCGGCTGAGCACATGAAGGTGTACTACGACAAGCACGTGCAACAGGCACCAGTCTTTGCACCAGGGGATAAGGTCTGGCTTGATGCCCGGAACCTTAAGCTGAAACAACCGAGCAAGAAGCTCAGTCCCAAGCGCCTTGGACCATATGCCGTGCGGCGAAAGCTCGGAGACTTGGATTATGAATTAGTCCTACCGAAATCGGTGCCGGTGCGCCCGGTGTTCCATGTCTCCTTGCTTAGCAAGTATACGCGTAGTGATATCCCGGGCCGAGAGCCGGAGGAGCTGCCTGCGATCGAGGTTGAGGGCGACGAGGAGTACGAGGTTGAGCGGA